TTTTCAAAGTTTTATTGATAAACATATAGCAATGAGACAGTTTCAAATCAAATCGAAAGTACAGTTTCAACAAATAATACATTGCATACATTCTTCTCAGTGGTTAATTGCTGTACACCTCCATTGTTTTTTAATAGCAGAGTAGTAATTTATGGTATGAATGTTTTGTAATTTACCTGACCATTTTCTTATTGTTGGGTATATAAGTTGTTACAGAGTTTTGTCATTATAAATGACTGTCTCTGGAAATAGCCCTGGTATTAAAAGACTCTTTAAACCTTTCAATCTTTAAAAAAAAATTGAAAAAAAAAAACAAACTCTGAAATTAGGTATTTGTTATAAGTTCAACATTTTGTTCACCTGGCTAGATGAGCTCTATAGAAAGTATAAAAATTACAGTCTCAGAATTTTTTGTGGGGGAGGCTACTGAACCCATGGTACGCACGTGCTATACCAGTGAGCTGTACCACCAGCTCCAGATGCTTTGAAACCTGAGGAACCTAACTACTTTATAGTTGCATCAAGGCAGTGTTGTTCTTGCATTTTAATCATAAAATAATTGAAGTTTTATGGCCTGTGATTCTTATGGTTGTACTACTACAAAAAGAAGCATAAGAGGTTTGTTTTTCAGAGTTGAACTAGTTTATAAGACCCTATAGTTAATTAAGAAAAGCACCAGTGGAGTTTCAGCATATGTAACTCTAGGCTCCATTCTCAATTTTAGCTGGTCCTCCTCGCCCTGGTATGATGCCAGCACCTCACATGGGAGGCCCTCCCATGATGCCAATGATGGGCCCCCCACCTCCGGGGATGATGCCAGTGGGACCTGGTAAGTTTGAAAGTCTTTCTTTTTCATATGTTCCTTTGTGTTTTAGTTTTCCAGTCAAGTGGACTTCTTAATTAGCTGCCTAAACATGTTGTTATAAGTATTATAACAAATTAAATTTGGTCAATTTTAAGTGGTAAAAATACTTTAATATAATTGAATGGTATCCAAGCACCCTGGGCTTCTAAAGGCAGGATAAGCAGCCTTTGTCTGTCTTCCCTTTATCTTCTGCTTTCTCATCTCATCTTGATTTTGAGCCATTTGTAAAAAGAAGGGTAAATAAATTTGTTCTGTTTTGGGGGGAGTGAAGAGTAGGTAAGTTTTCTCATTTTTATTCAGAACACAGTTGCTGCCTCTAACACATGATCTTTCTAGCTAACTAAGGCCAATAATAAAATAATGTTTTAGGCTTATTTTCGGGTGTGTGTGTGTGTGTGTGTGTGTGTGTGGTACTAAGGGTTGAACCCAGAGCCCCACTTATCCTAGGCAAATGCTCTACATCTGAACTTATCCCATAGCCCTTTATTTTTTAAAATGTTTTAAAATTTGAAGCAGGATTCTGCCAAGTTCTTATGACTGGCCTTGTCGTCCTCATACCTTAGCCTCTTTTTTCATCTCAGAAGCCAAATCCGTGCATGTTTTTCTTCAGGTAGTACCTTAGCCTCTTGAGTAACTGGGATTACAGGCATGTGCTACCATACCTGGTATTAGTTAGGTTTTTTTGTTTTGTTTTGTTTTGTTTGGGAAGCATTTTTTCCCCCTCTTCTTCCTCCCCCTCGACATGTGGTGCTAGAGATCTTACTTAGGGCCTTGGTCATGCAAGGCAAGAGCTGTACCACTGAGCCACATCCCCAGCCCCAGGAAGCAATTTTTTTTTGCGGAACCCGGGAGTGAACTCAGGCCCTTGTACTTGCCAGAGAAGCGCTTATTCCACTGAGCCATCTCCCCGGCCCCTGATTTTGTTTATTTTTAAATTTATTACTACTTATTTTGGTGCTGGGGATTGAACCTAAGCACACATGCTGTGCCTCTGAGCTACACCTCTCAGCCCCAAACATTGTTTCACATTTTTCTTTTTTTTTTTTTTTTT